ACGGGAACACATCCCTCGCCATACTAGATGGGAACACAACCCTCGTCATCCTCGATGGGAACACAACCCTCGCCACCTTAGATGGAGAACACAACCCTTGCCATCCTAGATGGGAACACAACGCTCGTCATCCTAGATGGGAACACAACCCTCGCCACCCTAGATGGGAACACAATCCTAACCATCCTAGATGGGAACACAACCCTTGCCACCCTAGACGGGGAACACAACCCTTGCCATCCTAGATGGGAACACAACCCTCGCCATCCTAGACGGGAACACAACCCTCGCCACCCTAGATGGGACGACAACGCTCGTCATCCAGGACGGGAACACTACCCTCGCCATCCTAGATGGGAACACAACCCTTGCCATCATGATGGGAACACAACCCTCGGCATCCTAGATGGGAACACAACCATCGTCATCTTAGACAGAAACACAACCCTCGCCATCCTAGATGGGAAGACAACCCTCGTCATCCAGGACGGGAACACAACCCTCGCCATCCTAGACAGAAACACAACCCTCGCCATCCTAGACGGGAACACAACCCACGCCATCCTAGACAGTAACACAATCCTCGCCATCCTAGACGGGAACACAACCCACGCCATCCTAGGCGGGAACACAACCCACGCAATCCTAGATGGGAACACAACCCTCGTCATCCAGGACGGAAACACAACCCTCGCCATCCTAGACAGGACCACAACCCTTGCCATCTTAGACATAAAAACACCCTCGCCATCCTAGACGGGAACACAACCCTCGCCATCCTAGATGGGAACACAACCCTCGCCATCCTAGACAGAAACACAACCCTAGCCATTTTTAGATGGGAACATCACCCTCGCCATGCTAGATGGAAAAACAACCCTCGCCATCCTAGATGGGAACACAACCCTCGCCATCCTAGACAGAAACACAACCCTCGCCATCCTAGATGGAAACACAACCCTCGCCCTCATGATGGGAACACAACCCTAGTCATCCTAGACAGGAACACAACCCTCGCCATCCTAGATGGGAACACAACCCTCGTCATCCTAGATGGAAACACAACCCTCACCATTCTACACAGAAACACAACACTCGCCACCCTAGATGGGAACCCAACCCTCGTCATCCTGGATGGGAACACAACCCTTGCCATCCTAGATAAAACACAACCCTTGCCGTCCTAGACGGGAACCAAACCCTCGCCATCTTATACAGAAACACAACCCTCGCCATCCAAGATGGGAACACAACCCTCGCCATCCTAGACGGGAACACAACCCTCGCCATCCTAGACGGGTACACAACCCTCGCCATCTTAGACGGAAACACAACCCACGCCATCCTAGATGGGAACACAACCCTCGCCACCCTAGATGGGAACACAACCCTCGCCATCCTAGATGGGAACACAACCCTCGCCATCCTAGACGGGAACACAACCCACGCCATCCTAGACAGGAACACAACCCTCGCCATCCTAGACAGGAACACAACCCTCGCAATCTTAGACATAAATAACAACTCTCGCCATCCTAGACGGGAACACAACCCTCGCCATCCTAGATGGGAACACAACCCTCGCCATCCTAGATGGGAACACAACCCTCGCCATCCTAGATCGAAACACAACCCTCGCCATCTTAGACAGAAACACAACCCTCGCCATCCTCGACGGGAACACATCCCTCGCCATCCTAGACAGGAATACAACCCTCGTCATCTTAGATGGAAACACAACCCTCGTCATCTTAGACAGAAACACAACCCTCACCATCCGTGACGGGAACACAACCCTCGCCATCCTAGACAGGAACACAACCCTCGCCATCCTAGATGGGAACACAACCCTCGCCACCCTAGATGGGAACACAACCCTCGCCATCTTAGACAGAAACACAACCCTCGTCATCCTAGAAGGGAACACAACCCTCGCCATCTTAGAAGAAACACAACCCTCGCCATCCTAGAGGGGAACACAACCCTCGCCATCCTCGACGGAAACACAACCCACGCCATCCTAGACAGAAACACAACCCTCGCCATCCTAGACAGAAACACAACCCTCGCCATCCTAGACAGAAACACAACCCTCGCCATCCTAGATGGCAACACAAACCTCGCCATCCTAGATGGGAACACAACCTTCGCCATCTTAGACAGAAACACAACCCTCGCCATCCTAGACAGAAACACAACCCTCGCCATCCTAGACGGGAACATAACCCTCGCCATCCTAGACATAAACACAACCCTCGCCATCCTAGACGGGAACACAACCCTCGCCATCTTAGACAGAAACACAACCCTCGCCATCCTAGACAGAAACACAACCCTCGCCATCCTAGACGGGAACACAACCCTCGCCATCCTAGACATAAACACAACCCTCGCCATCCTCGACGGGACCACAACCCTCGCCACTCTAGACAAAAACACAACCCTCGCCATCCTAGACGGGACCACAACCCTCGCCATCCTAGACAGAAACACAATCCTCGCCATCCTAGACGGGAACACAACCCTCGCAATCCTAGACAGAAACACAACCGTCGCCATCCTAGACAGGAACACAACCCTCGTCATCCTATACGGGAACACAACCCTCGCCATCCCAGACAGAAACACAACCCTCGCCATCCTCGACAGAAACACAACCCTCGCCATCCTAGACGGGAACACAACCCTCGCCATCCTAGACGGGAACACAACCCACACAATCCTAGACAGAAACACAACCCACACCATCCTAGACGGGAACACAACCCTCGCCATCCCAGACGTTCCACGGCAGTGAGGCGCACTATGCCGAGGAGAGAAACCTCACCTGGTCCCTCGTTCATTCTGTGCTCACGCTCCGCGCACGTCATGGAACATCATCGCTTCTCAAACCTACTCGGTTAGCCCTCCTCACGTCCAGCCACACACGACGTGTGTCCCTGTGCGCTTGCGCATGGGCGCGAGAGTCAATTCCCCTCCCTTTAACGTTCAAATATGTTTTTATTAGCTCAGTGTTGTGCTGCCGCGATCCAGCTGAGGGCGATCTGCCCGAGCCGATTGTGCGTGGCAGGGAATCGTGCGCGTGATATTTTCAATTTCTCGTTTGACTTTCTTTTCTTTTGAAAATTCGTATTTTTTTTCGTCAATTTCCAGCGAGCCCAGGTCGAGACCCACCTATCGTGACCTCTTGGCGTCTCACACCGGGGTTCAACTCGAACGGGGGGCCCGTGGAAAAAGGCTTCGCCCCAGGGGTCGGTGCCCCCTGTTCTGATCGCGGACGCCCGCCACAGACGGACATTCGCTCGCTGATGACGCCGGCGCGTGGGGAGGGCATTTTGAGAACGACTCCGCGTCTCAGGGGCGCAAACAGGATGCGGGCCGTCCCATCGTCCGGGGCGGCAGCCCGAAGGAAACGCGCGACGTTTGCTTTGAGCGCGGTTTGCTACGTACGGCGCGAACGGAAGGATGCGGAGGTGAATGGCCACAGGGGATGATCGTGGCATGACAGGTCCACGAGGGAAGGCGATTGCGGGGGAAGGCCTTCACCCAGCAGTAGATAGATCAAGGCTGCTGCTATATCTGATTCATATGCTTCGTGTGTATTTAGTTTATTGTCCTTCGCCTACACACCTCCGATTAGCGCGGTTGGCTATATACGGTGTGAAATAAGTTCAACATACATGCACACACATTTGTGGATGTCGGTGCTGTTGCCCGCAAATCGGCGGTGTGGGCAGTGCTGCGTCATGCGACCCATGGTCTGATGATCACTCGTCGGCACGTGACCCCTGATCTTGGATGTATCTCTACATCTACAGAACGTGAAAAACCAGTGGCATCTACATCTACAGAACATGAAGAACCAGTGGCATCTACATCTACAGAACATGAAGAACCAGTGGCATCTACATCTACAGAACATGAAAAACCAGTGGCATCTACATCTACAGAACATGAAGAACCAATGGCATCTACATCTACAGAACATGAAAAACCAGTGGCACCTACATCTAGAGAACATGAAGAACCAGTGGTATCTACATCTAGACAACATGAAGAACCAGTGGCATCTACATCTACAGGAGATTCGACAACTTTTAAAGCCATTCCCCGTGTTTAGTGTACATGCCGTATACCATGTTTGGAATCTATAGGAGTAAAGTTGGACTTACAAACAAATCGACTTACGAACAGACCTCTGCAACCTAATTCGTTCGTAAGTAGAGGAGTCCCTGTACGTATACACAAAGACAAAATATCCCCCGTGTAGCCTTAACAGACTGTTGGGGCAAGTGCTGTTAGCGAGAACCTATAAAGGCCGCCATGGCACACGAGGGGGTGGGTGGACACCACGCCCGGCCGCCTTTGTCTCCCCAGTGGCGATGTTTACACACCGTACCAGGTACTCATTTGAGGCTGAGTCGACCTAGGGGAGGCCCACGACCGGTTCAAATGATCGTAAAAGGTGTTGGCCGCGAGCCGGAAATCGAACTCGGGTCGCCGAGTTCGTAGCGCAGCGCGCTAACCGCTACGCCACCGCTCCCCAAAGCACAACAATACACACACACACAGGGGTCACTTGTTGACACCTGTCACGATACCAGACGGGTTCGGGCGGTTGCTGGGAGGGGCCGGTGGCCAGGTGCGGTGGCCACCGCCTGCACGCGACCTGAGACGAGCCGCGTGCGTGGCGTGGGACGCGAAAATGCGCGCGTCCCCGTTCGTGTTCACAGCGAGCCGCTTCCACTACCCCACAGAGAGGGCTGTCGATCGCCACTGCTTGGAGTGCGCGGGGGAGTGGATGCGGTGGGGGGGGGGGAGAGGCGGGGGGTCACCGCGCCCTCCCGTGGGAGTGCGGCTCCTGCCCGGGATGTCGGTGGAGGTGGGGGGCTCACAGACAGCCCCCACCCCCCGGGGTTTTGATGGGGGGGGGCATCCAGTGCGCACCCACATCGCTCGGAGCCGGGTGTGGATGCCAACGTGGGGGTTGCGGGTGAACGCCCGCGGCGTGCGACGTCCGTGGCTCTGTCGCGCGAGCGCGGGGCCTCTGCGCTGCGCCCCGCGTCTCAAAACAACAAAACAGAGGGCCCGGTGGCCCCATTGTGTTGTCGCGTCGGCGGCGGTGGCGCAGAGCTCTCGGGGAAACCGCGCCGCGCATTGTGGCCGCGCCGCGCACCGCTTCCTGAGCCTTTTTCCTGCCAGAGGCGGCCCCCACCCCGGGGTCGAGCCTCCGGGCCCCTTTCCGTTTCGTCTTCTCGCGACGGCGGCGGCGGCGGCGGCAGCGGAGTCTGAGTGAGGACGCGGCGAGGGTGCGGGGGGGTTTGGTCTGCGCGCGTGCGTGCAGGAGGAGCGCGCGCGAGCGAGGGCTTCTGTGCGTCAAGGTGCGTGCGCGTGTCTCTGACGATTAGTGCGGCGTGTGTCTGTGTGTGTGCGCGTGTCCGTGTGTGTACGTGTGTGTGTGTGCGCGTGTCTGTGTGTGTACGTGTGTGTGTGTGTTGCGCGCGCGAAGATGAGCGAGTGTGCGGTGCGCGCATCACCGTGTTTGTGAATATGAGCGTGTAGTATGGTGACAGTGTGTGAAGGTGCATGAACATGTGTGGGGTTTATGTGCGAAGTTCTATGTGTGTCGCGTGTGTGTCTGGTGTACCGTATGTATGGTGTGCGTGAAGGTCTGTGTGTGGTATGTGGTGTGTTTGATGTCTGTGTGGTGTGTGTTGTGTGCGTGTGTGTGTGTGTCGTGTGGTGTGTGTGATGTGTGTGGGGTGTGAGTGTGGTGTGAGTTTGATGTCTGCGTGTGTGTGGTGTGTGAAGGTCTGTGAGTGTGGTGTGTGTGAAGGTCTGTGAGTGTGGTGTGTGTGAAGGTCTGTGAGTGTGGTGTGTGTGAAGGTCTGTGAGTGTGGTGTGTGTGAAGGTCTGTGAGGTGGTGTGTGTGAAGGTCTGTGAGTGTGGTGTGTGTGTGTCGTGTGGTGTGTGTGATGTGTGTGGGGTGAGAGTGTGCTGAATGTAGGGAGAAGTGGCGTAGTGGTTAGCGCGCTGCGTTACGAACCTGGGAACCCGAGTTCGATTCCCGTAACGATTATCTCAACCGGTCCTGGGCCTCCCCTAGGTCGACTCGAACTCAAATTCGTGCCTGGTGGGCAGGAGTTGCGGGGACAGGCGCGTGCGCCTTCTCCGCCACTCGGGCAGACACACCGACGACACGAACAGCTCACTGAGGAGACAAAGGCGGCAGGGCGTGGTGCTGCCTCCTACCCCCATCGTGTTCCTTGTCGACTTTCATAGGTGCTCGCTAACAGTCGAAGGCTATTCGGCGGATCTTTGCCTTTGGTGTGTGTGTGGTGTGTGTGTGGTGTGTGTGGTGTATGTGGTGTGTGTGTGGTGTGTGTGTGGTGTGTGTGTGGTGTGTGTGGTGTGTGTGTGGTGTGTGTGGTGTGTGTGTGGTGTGTGTGTGGTGTGTGTGGTGTGCGTGTGGTGTGTGTGTGTGTTTGATGTGTGTGTGTGTGGTGTGCGTGCGGTGTGAATATGATGTTTTATTTTTGTGTGGTGTTCGTGTGGCTGCGTATGGTGTGTGTGTGTGTGATTTATGTGAAGATGGATGTGTGTGTGGCGTGTGTGTGAAGGGGTCTGTTCGTGTATCCGCTGCCGTGGCGATGAAGACGCGAGCGCTGTACGAGCGGCGCACGTGAGCGCGGATCTGCGGACATGGAGGATGGTAAGGGCGTCTCTCTCTCCACCCGCACCAACCCCTCGACCTAGCGAGGCACGCGCACTGCGCTCCCTCGGGCTGCGCCTGTCGGTCGGCACGTGTGCCCGCGTGGCGTGCAAGGCGCACGCGCCTGCCCCCGCTACTCCTGCGCGTGTTACGCACAGACCGATTGACGCATTTGACGGACGCGCACGGCAAGGCTGGGGGGCATCGCAAGCCGTGGCTGGAGCGGAGCGCGGCGATCCGAGTTGGGCATCCCTTGACCTGTGCCACAAAAGTGCCCCCCCCACGTTCTTGGATTTTGCGGTGTCTCTCTGTCTCCCCGTGGTCGCGGGGGGAGAGAGAGACATGCAACTGACGAGAGCGAGACATGTAAAACCGACATGAGGGAGAGAGACATGCAAAACAGGAGGATACGGGGAATTTTCCCCCAGGTCCACTCCACATTTAGAATCACGCGTTTAGAGTATTTGACCTGCGATAAATGTCCACGCGAATGATCCACTTCGTTGAGCTGTCATTTGTGATAGCCAGGTCGCTTCTGAAAAAAAAGAGCCATAAACTCACTTATCTGGTAAAATATAAAAAAATAGTTTAGTTTGAGTTCGTTTCGTTTACTTCGCGCAAAGGCCGAGGTGTCACGCCGACTCTTCACGCGCTCCCTCACTGCGCTGTTTCTGCCGGGCTCCGTGCCCCCCTCCCCGTGCCCCCCCGTGCCCCCCCCTGGCCCCCTACACAGGCGCCCCTCTGCGCGCCACAGTAACCGGGGAGCCCAACCGCGGCGAGACCTCCGTCTCCGCCGCCCCTCGAGTCGCCTCCAAGCCGCCACTCGCGCCCAAGCCGCAGCTCTCGAGGCCCGCGGTCGCCAGCGAGCTTCGACAGCTCGCGAGCCCCGACGGAAACGCGTGCGTCTCATCGGACAGCAGCAGCAGCAACAGCAGCAACAACAACAACAGCAGCAGCAGAAGCAGCAACAGCAGCCGAAGCAGCAGCAGCAGCAGCGGCGGCAGTCACGGCGACGACGGTCGGGGAGAGCCTGCGGGCGAGAGCGCTGCCGCTCCCGTCGGACGCTTGTCCGATGATCGTCCCGACATCATCAGCACGGGCCACGTGACGCCCTGCTCGTGTCCCGCGCACGATAAGCGCGCTCCCGGCGAGCTCCGCATGCCCGAGTTCGTGCCCCACCACGGGGGCCCTGCTCAGCGGAGCCTCTCCTACTCGTGGCCCGAGGGGGCCCTGACGGCGCGCTCGTCGCTCGCGATGGAGGAGGCGGCGTCTCTGTGCCAAGCGCGCTCGCGAGTTCGCTCTCTGGGCCCCGGGATGGGCTGCGCGGGCGGGGGCACGGGACCGAGGCGCGCGCGGCGCTTGTTCTTCAGCCACTTTCACGACGGGGAAGGTCGCGGAGACCTCCACCTGTGGGAGCTTCATCTGTCCCACGCCAGCGCGACGCAGCGCGCGGTCAGAGCCGCCGAGGGAGCTGATGACGATCACAACGACGACGACGATGAACACGTCGATGGTGACGATGGCGACGATGACGACGATGACGATGACCAGGAAGGCAGTGCAAATGTCAGCGATGGCTTCGTGGAAGCGCGGCAGCGAGCGGACGAGGCGAGCGGGGAGGCGGCGTCTCTGGAGGACGCGAGCGTGGCGCAAGGCAGCGGGCCGCACGAGGAGACGGAGCGCGTGGCCCCCGCTCCTCACTCCGCGGACGAGACTGAAGCCGCGCGGCCACTGGACGAGTGCGCCTCACGTTCTGGACGAGAAGGTGCCGATTCCGAGATTGCGACTGAGAATACAGATTCACTCGCGGAGCAGCAGGCGGAGGAGGAGGAGGAGGACGAGGAGGCGGCGGCGGCTCGTGCTCCCCCCACAGGCGGGGGCCAAGTTGCGCCCCAGCACTCCGTTGTCGAGGCCTCTCCTCTCGCCAAGTCGCAGCCGAGCACCGCGAGCGGACAGGAGGATGACCACTACTGCGAGGTGGACTTCCTCGTGTCCCTCGCGGCGGAGGAGAGCTCGGACGGTCTCTACTCGGAGATCCACGGCATCAAGGACTGGATCAGCAGCCTCTCCCTCAGCCCGGAGCGAAGGGGCCTCCTCTCGCGAGTCAAGTCCCTCACGGGAAGCTCGCTGTTCCACAGAGCGCTGGCCGACGACAGCGACACGCACTCCGACACGTGCTCCGAGGGCTCCTTCACGGGCACGCCGCGCAGCCTCAGCTGCGGCAGCCGCCTCGTCAAGGAGCGCTCCTGCGAGCAGGTGGCGAGGAGCAGGGTCGGGGGAGGCGCCCCCCCACCCTCCGCCGGCTCCCCTCGGCCGTGGGGGGGCGCCCCCGGCGGCGGCGGCGGGCAAGACCCCCAGCACGCGCCGCCTCGCCACGGCGCCGCGATGTCGCCCTTGGAGCGGAGGAAGCGCCCCGAGTTCTCGCCGCCGTCGCCCCTCGCGGCGAGGGGGCCTCGCGGGGGCGCGCGCGCCCCGCCGCCGTGGGGGTCGAACCCGGGCGCGTCTTCCGTCGGGGACATCCCGCCGCCCTTCGAGCTGGCGCCCATCACGAAGAAGCCGCTCGCCAAGAGCTCGCCGTCCATCCTCATGACGCTGGAGCCCCAGGACAACAAGCACGCGTCGAAGCGCGCGTCCAAAAAGAAGAGCTCCCTCAAGCGCCTGCTGCCCTTCAAGATCTCGGTGAGGAAGAAGCACGCGGAGCAGCCCAAGTGGCCGTCGGAGGGCGCGGGGCTCCACGCGCGCGGCGCCGAGGCGGACGAGCGCAGGCACAAGGGGCCGCGCGCTTCCCCGGGGATCCAGCGGGTCATGGCTCTCGGGGCGCGCGGCTCCAAGGAGCACGGCAACAACAACAGCGGCGGCGGTGGCAGCAGCAGGCACAACTACAGCGGCAGCAGCAGCAGCAGCAGGATCTGCCGGGTGGAATCGTTTGAGAGTCGCCCACGACCGCCGCACGCGCCCCATCCGCTCACCAAGCCGCGCTCCATCTCCTTCCCCAACCCGAGTCCCTGCACGGAGTACGAGAACGTGCCGGTGGCCAACAGCGACTACGAGAACATGACGCCGCCCGTGCGCAAGAGCAGCAAGCGGTTCGCGGCCAAGGCGAGTCAGCCCAGGGGCTTCTTCGGCGACGAGGCGGGCGCGCGGGGCAGCGGCGGGCAGAGTTGCAGAGGGGTCCCGCGCAGGGATGCGGAGGGCAGGGGGTCCGGGGAACGCGGCAGCGACACGGACGGATACGTGGACATGAGCAACTTCCCGTGTCTGGAGGCGCGGCGAGCTCCGAGCTGCTCGTCCAGCAGGTGGGTCCCGTGGCCGAGAGATGGACGCGGTGGTTGTGTCGATGAGACGACGCCACGAGGTGTGTAGGTCGGTGATCTGTGTAGGTCGGTGATCTGTGTAGGTCGGTGATCTGTGTAGGTCGGTGATCTGTGTAGGTCGGTGATCTGTGTAGGTCGGTGATCTGTGTAGGTCGGTGATCTGTGTAGGTCGGTGATCTGTGTAGGTCGGTGATCTGTGTAGGTCGGTGATCTGTGTAGGTCGGTGATCTGTGTAGGTCGGGCTCGCGGGCCGCTGGCGGCTCCTGGAGGTGTCTGTGAGAGAGAAAAAAAAACACACACCCCATCATCACCATCATCGTCGTGATGTTGTCAAACCCCCAATGGGTTCAAATGCGTGGCGGCCCTCGCGCTCGTGATGTCTCATCGGCGAAAGTGCCCCCCCCCTTCCCCTCTGAAAATAAATGAAGGACGCTGCTGTCGACAGAAGATGCATTTGAAAGGGTAATAATATTGAGGTGTAAGGCATAAAAGGGATGTATTCACACGATAATGATTAGACTTCGATGATTGGAGATATTCATTAAGGGGATAAATATATAATGTAGAAAGACAGAAGAGAGTTTATTCAGCTCAGCATTCCTCGGGGGGGGGGGGGGGTCACTTTGTGGGGAAGTCAAAGGCGCGTGCGTGTCCTTCTGAACAGACTCGCCCCCGCCATAGGAATGCGGATTTCCACCATCTGCTCGGGGGCTCGTAAACAGGAGATGAGCGCCTGCCTCGATGGTCATTTGAGCAGGAAACGGCGTGGGGCTTTTGTTTTTCGCGACTCGCCGTGCAGGAGCGACGCGACACCGGGGGGGAGGGCGGGGAACTACGGAGCGGACGCGCCGTCCGAGGATGACGACGACGAGGACGAGGAGGAGGAGGGCGGTCCGGGCTCGAGGCTCCACCACCACCATCACCACCACCACCCCAGCGCTCCACGCACCGCTCAGGTCCCAAAGCTGCTCGTCTAGGGGGGCGTCCATAAATGACGTCACGCACCTAGGGGGGGGGAGGGTTCAGACGTTTGTGACGATGTGTGATGAGGGGAGGGGGGTTGAGAAATGTGACGTCACATAAAAATGCGCAACTTTAAATAAATATAGACAACACGTACTTGATTAAATAGACTTTTTAATAAATGTTTTCTCCTACAACATCAGAGTGCAGCGCCACATTAAATACGCACCACAATGACAATAGTTTAAAGGGATTTGAAGCATGTTTTATTTTCAAAATGGAAATATGGTTTGGGGGGGGGGCAGAGCTTTGTGACGTCATATTTGAGGGGGGGGTCTGACTTTTTGTGACACCGTGTGACGAGGAGGGGGGTCAAAAATCGTCCAAAATCGCGTGACGTCATTTATGGGCGGCCCCTAGGCGCACGCATCAACACAAAACCAACCAATAGCGACACACGCCATTCGCCACTAAGTGGCGGTGGCGTCACCACGGCGCGCGTGCCAGGCTAGGTGCACTTTGAGGCTATCACGTGAAGTGTCGAAGGCTCGCTGCTGGCAGGAGAAGGTCACGGGACAGACCCAGCATGTGCCATGGGTAGGCTGACTGAGATGACCAGTAGATGCACACCAGCTGTACTCCCTACTGTGCCAACTTGCTGCATTTTATCCGCCCGGCGCTCCGCTCGTTGTTGTGAGCGTAACTAGCTCTGAATGCCATGGCACGACACACAACGGGACAGTGTGGTTAGTAACCACGTCCCGGCCGCCTTTGTCTTTCTCCCCATTGGCGATGTTTACACATCATTTAAGGCCGAGTGGATCTAGGGACGGCACAGGCTCTGTTCAGATATTCGTCACTAATACGGGCCCTGAGTTGGGAATCGAACTCTGGTTCGCCGGTTTCGTAGTGCAGCGCGCAAACCGCTACCCCACCGCTCCCCACAACCCTGCCGCACTCCTACAAAGCACACGCCACACACGCCACACACACACACACACGCGCCACACACACACGCGCCACACACACACACGCCACAAACGCCACACACACACACGCGCCACACACACACGCGCCACACACACGCGCACACACGCTACACACACACACACACACGCGCACACACGCACACACGCGCCACACACACACACGCCACACACACACACGCCACACACACACACGCCACACACACCACACACACACACCACACACACAGCACACACACACCACACACAAACACCACACACACCACACACACGCCACACACGCACGCGCCACACACACGCGCACGTGTTCTTGCTTCCTCAAGTACGCGGTGCCACGTCCCTGCAGAGGATGCTGGGTCACCGCTCCCCACGGCCGCTGGCACAACCGCTGCCTCCCCCTCCCCCTTGGCTAGGCCGCCGTATTCCTAACGCCAGCCCTCGTTCCTGTGGGGCGCTGTCTGCCCCCCCCAAACCCATCACCACCCCGGCAGAGAGAGGGGGGCGGTCGTGGGGAAGGTGTCGTCACAGTCGCGTCACGAGCGTGGGGCGGTCACGTGCTGCTTCGCCCCCACCCCACCCGCCTTGTGGTCAAAGCGACGAGTCGGGCCCTCCCCCTTGGCAACGACCGTGAGATTTGATTTCAACTTCAGTGTTAAAGAACAACAACACCTTATGTAAAACGCTGTCTACATGAATGAAACATTTTTTGAATGAAAAATGCCTTCACATAGAACTCCGTTTTTGGGAGATTTATTTCACTAAATACGCGTCAATTTTATTGCAAAGAGGGTAACTACTATGGAGCTGAACTTTCAGTTTCCTTTTATTTAAGTTTAATTTATTAGGCATAACCCTGTGGGCCATGCGGCTCTTGACTCGGGTGCAACCGCAACAAAACAAAAACACGAACAAGAAACATCTCAAAGTGACTACGCGCAACAGAAAAACATCCTGGCAAAAACAGCAAAGTCTTCCAGAAAAAAAACACCGCATTTCAACGCTGTGTGCAAAAATCCCAGTGGGAGGCAAGTCAAACAATAAGAACCGTAAGACAATTTAGATTAAAGTTATAAAGTTAAAGTTATGAAGTGGCTGCATTTTGCTAAGACGGAACGCCCCTGCAGCGTGAAATGTTCGAGACAGTGAGGGTACGAATGATGTGTTTAGGGGCAAGATGTGCCGCGATGTCTCATAGCCTCTAGGGTGCGACCGTGCGAGACAAATCAAATATTGGGGCCTCACCTTGCCGCACCCCCTGAGCTGATAATGTAGTCACTACGTCACTGATAATGTAGTTACTACGTTACTGATAATGTAGTTACTACGTCACTGATAATGTAGTTACTACGTCACTGATAATGTAGTTACTACGACACTGATAATGTAGTCACTACACCACTGATAATGTAGTTACTACAGCACTGATAATGTAGCCACTACGCCACTGATAATGTAGTTACTACACCACTGATAATGTAGTTACTACGTCACTGATAATGTAGTCACTGCCACTGATAATGTAGTCACTACACCACTGATAATGTAGTCACTACGTCACTGATAATATAGTCACTAAGTCACTGATAATGTAGTTACTACGTCACTGATAATGTAGTCACTACGTCACTGATAATGTAGTTACTACGTCACTGATAATGTAGTTACTACGTCACTGATAATGTCACCACGTCACTGATAATGTAGTTAGTACGTCACTGATAATGTAGTTACTACACCACTGATAATGTAGTCACTACGTCACTGATAATGTAGTTACTACGTCACTGATAATGTAGTCACCACGTCACTGATAATGTAGTCACTACGTCACTGATAATGTAGTTACTACGTCACTGGTAATGTAGTCACTACACCACTGATAATGTAGTCACTACGTCACTGATAATGTAGTTACTACACCACTGATAATGTAGTTACTACGTCACTGATAATGTAGTCACTACACCACTGATAATGTGGCTACTACGTCACTGATAATGTAGTCACTACACCACTGATAATGTAGTCACTACACCACTGATAATGTAGTTACTACACCACTGATAATGTAGTCACTACGTCACTGATAATGTGGCTACTACGTCACTGATAATGTAGTCACTACACCACTGATAATGTAGTTACTACGCCACTGATAATGTAGTTACTACACCACTGATAATGTAGTCACTACATCACTGATAATGTAGTTACTACGTCACTGATAAAGAAGTTACTACGTCACTGATAATGTAGTCACTACACCACTGATAATCTAGATACTACGTCACTGATAATGTAGTCACTACGCCACTGATAATGTAGTTACTACGTCACTGATAATGTAGTCACTACACCACTGATAATGTAGTTACTACACCACTGATAATGTAGTCACTACGTCAATGATAATGTAGTTACTGAACCACTGAAAATGTAGTTGCTACGCCACTGATAATGTAGTCACTACACCACTGATAATGTAGTTACTACGCCACTGATAATGTAGTTACTACGCCACTGATAATGTAGTCACTACACCACTGATAATGTAGTTACTACGCCACTGATAATGTAGTTACTACGCCACTGATAATGTAGTTACTACGCCACTGATAATGTAGTTACTACGCCACTGATAATGTAGTTACTATGCCACTGTTGATGTAGTTACTATGCCACTACTAATATAGTTACTACACCACTGACAATGTAGTTACTACACGACTGATAATGTAGTTACTACGCCACTGGTAATGTAGCTACTACGCCACTGATAATGTAGCTACTACGCCACTGATAATGTAGTTACTGCGCCACTGTTAATGTAGTTACTACGTCACTGATAATGTAGTTACTACGCCACTGTTAATGTAGTTACTACGTCACTGATAATGTAGTTACTACGTCACTGATAATGTAGTCACTACACCACTGATAATGTAGTTACTACACCACTGATAATGTAGTTACTACGTCACTGATAATGTAGTCACTACACCACTGATAATGTAGTTACTACACCACTGATAATGTAGTTACTACGCCACTGTTAATGTAGCTACTACGTCACTGATAATGTAGTTACTACGTCACTGATAATGTAGTTACTACGTCACTGATAATGTAGTCACTACACCACTGATAATGTAGTTACTACGTCACTGATAATGTAGTCACTACACCACTGATAATGTAGTTACTACGCCACTGATAATGTAGTTACTACACCACTGATAATGTAGTTACTATGCCACTTTTAACGTCGTTACTACGGCCACTACATCCAATCCGGCTTTCGTGCTGCCGGTTCCCCGCTGATCGAGGCGCCTTCCACGCGGCCCAATGCCTCCTCGTTCCCCTGCAGTCTTCGCTGGGACGTTCCTCTATGATCACGCCGAGCAACACTCCTCGCTCGATAACCTCGCTCGAGGTTGGTCCGGGGTTGGTCCGGGTCGCATCCCAATTCTCCAGCTCACCTCGTTGCACGTGTTTGTACCTTCACGTAGACAGAGGGCTAGCGTGCCTCTTGCACATTCCATCGGCCGCAACTGCTGCCTCTGCGAACAAAACGTTTATTTGGCCGCGCATTTGCGCTGGATACAACTTCAGTGGAGCGCGAACGATTTTGGTTTTCCGCGTGAATCTCATGCATCGTGACGAGTCTGAGTGCCCCGCGTGCTTTGAGGGAACATGCAGCACTTGCTCCTTAGCGCAACCAAATGCGGACCGTTCCAAACAGAGCCGTCAGCATTAACCGTCACGTTAACACACTTGGGCCCCTTACCGACACGAGCGTCGTTAGGCAACTGAAGCACCTATATTCTTGGTTCTTTCGGTAAAGTCACCACGTAGAAGGGAAACAATAAAATAATAAAAATATGAAACGATTAAATTATCACGACGTTTCGACTGCAACACAAGCAATCATCATCAGTTGTGAAAACCACAGCAGGAAAATTTTCTTGCTGTGGTTTTATTGTTTTGTTTTTATTATTTTATTGTTTCCCTTCCACGTGACTTTACCGAAAGAACCAAGAATATGAATCCCTGCAGTCACGAAAGCTTTAAATCAAAGACTAAAGTACCGTCATGTGGTCATTCGCATGCGGTACCCTCCACGCGTTTTACGTTATGACAAACGCCGTACGCAACTTGATATCGTGCGCAAGGCTTCCCAGTCGCGCCTAGCTGTCCCCCCCCCACCCACCTTACAAGGACCCCATTGGTTCGAGCGCGTACCGCCTCTCGATCAGTGACGAATAACGACGTCACCGCCCGCTCGATGCAGGGCATTCTGGATGTTCGAGCGCGCGTGTGTGGTGTGTGGGCGATTTTTGGGAACACAATTTTCTGAGATTGGCAAACGCAATATCTTGGGGTTTTAATTTCAAATTGATATTTCCCTCTAAGTGTGACGGTCACTTGTCAATTATAATCTGTACTTTGTGTATGTGTATATAGAAACAAGTTTATGCTGGACTGGTTAGCGACATACAATGTCTCATCAGAAGAGTCAGGTTTGCTTAAACTGTTGAACTTCCAGATGTTCATATGTAACAGAGGCCCCTTGCCTATAAACATCAGGCACTAAGCGAGCCTGACTGTGCTGATGCGACAATTAATGTCGAAACCGGTCCGGAGTAAAATTCTATTGAACCAAAGCTGCTGGAAAACAAAACACTGCCAGAAGGGCGTGTGGCTGATGGGACGTGCACCACAATGAAGGCATTGTTTATTTGGAGAGACAGCTGTGGAAGGGAGGCGTATCCGTCCGCATGTTTCTTTAGGGATATAAGATCACATTCGTCATGTCCGAAGCGCAATGCGTAAGGTATTTCCTTATAGACAGAAAGGTATAAGCTTCTTTCTTAGGCCGTGGTTCCATGCGACACAGCTAGGGCCACGTGTCCACGTACAGATCACTTGGTGCTAGGGAGATGATGGTCTCGGGTCACGTGTCCACGTACAGATCACCTGGTGCACAGGAGATGACGATTCTCAACTCGGGCACCTCGTGAGTTCATGCCACGCTGCGTCACCCCGCGTGGGTACTCGCATCCAGGGCTGAGTCGTAGAGTAGCTGGGACAGAAAACGAGGTGCACAACGTTGAAACGATATTGAACTGTGGGCTAGCACGAGTCCTTAGTTTTCTGCTCACTACTTGTACCTGAATGATTGTGATGTCAGACAGAGGAGGAGAAGCGGAGCCGTGCATTTGAAATTGCTCGAGAAATCATGCGCTCGGAGAAAAGGTGAGAAAACATCAATATCCCGTGTAGCCTAAAACGACTTTTGGGCCAAGTGCCGAGCAGCATCTTTTACGGTCGGCATGGCACACGTTGGGGTGGGTGGCCAGCACCATCCCCGGCCGCCTTTCTCTAACCCAATGGCGACGTTTATACACCACACCCGCTACTCATTTGAGGCTTAGTCGACCTAGGGGAGGCCCTGGACTGGTGCAGATAATTGTAACCGGTGTTTGCCGTGAGCGGGAATCTAAGTCGGCTCGCCGGGTTCGTAGCGCACCGCGTTAACCGCTGAGCCACCACTCAGTATACACAATGCACACGTGCATGCGCCCTCGCGATGCGTTGCTGTGGGGGGGGGGGAAGGGGGCAGATGCGACGTGAATTTTTTTCTAGTAAGGAAGCGTGCGTTTGTGTTTTTTTGGTATTTTACAGCTTTGTTGAGTCTATCAAGTTGCTCCATTTGGTAAGAGCGCACACACCCACACACACTCACTTCCATAAGGCTCATCATCGTCGTCATCACAAAACACCCTCTCATCAATAACACTGCCTTACAAAGGAAACGTGTATAACGGGCAATATTTTGGGCCATAGCCTTTCACAGCACAGAGACGTCTACCTTCCTGGCCTCTCTATGTACTGTGAATGAGGGTCATTGCCCGAAACGTCGCCTATTATATACTCTTATCAAGTCAGCCTGCTCGACAATACATCGTTCTAGGAAGTTTGTTGTTGTTGTTGAGCCGCTCAACTTTTGCAGTGACTACATTATTTTCGTTCAGCCGCCAACGACATTTGGATTCAAGGCTTTCGCAACGCACCCCTCATGGCGAGGGCTTCACTGTGATGAGTCTGTCCTGAGCCTTAAGGGGTCCACCCCTCGAAGGAAAACGCAGCGCTTGCAACGGCGCGCGTGCCCGATATGGAATTATTCGATGTTTGGTTGTTTCTTTATTTTAAAACGAACCGATGGCGGAATGCGTGAAGCGGGATGAGTGAAGAGGGATGAGTGAAGTGGGATGAGTGAAGTGGGATGAGTGAAGTGGGATGAGTGAAGTGGGATGAGTGAAGAGGGATGAGTGAAGTGGGATGAGTGAAGTGGGATGAGTGAAGTGGGATGAGTGAAGAGGGATGAGTGAAGTGGGATGAGTGAAGTGGGATGAGTGAAGAGGGATGAGTGAAGAGGGATGAGTGAAGAGGGATGAGTGAAGTGGGATGAGTGAAGTGGGATGAGTGAAGTGGGATGAGTGAAGTGGGATGAGTGAAGTGGGATGAGTGAAGTGGGATGAGTGAAGAAGGATGAGTGAAGTGGGATGAGTGAAGTGGGATGAGTGAAGTGGGATGAGTGAAGTGGGATGAGTGAAGTGGGATGAGTGAAGAGGGATGAGTGAAGTGGGATGAGTGAAGAGGGATGAGTGAAGAGGGATGAGTGAGGAGGGATGAGTGAAGTGGGATGAGTGAAGTGGGATGAGTGAAGTGGGATGAGTGAAGAGGGATGAGTGAAGTGGGATGAGTGAAGAGGGATGAGTGAAGAGGGATGAGTGAAGAGGGATGAGTGAAGTGGGATGAGTGAAGTGGGATGAGTGAAGTGGGATGAGTGAAGAGGGATGAGTGAAGTGGGATGAGTGAAGTGGGATGAGTGAAGTGAGATGAGTGAAGAGGGATGAGTGAAGTGAGATGAGTGAAGTGGGATGAGTGAAGAGGGATGAGTGAAGTGGGATGAGTGAAGTGGGATGAGTGAAGAGGGATGAGTGAAGTGGGATGAGTGAAGTGGGATGAGTGAAGAGGGATGAGTGAAGAGGGATGAGTGAAGTGGGATGAGTGAAGTGGGATGAGTGAAGTGGGATGAGTGAAGAGGGATGAGTGAAGTGGGATGAGTGAAGTGGGATGAGTGAAGAGGGATGAGTGAAGAGGGATGAGTGAAGTGGGATGAGTGAAGTGGGATGAGTGAAGTGGGATGAGTGAAGAGGGATGAGTGAAGTGGGATGAGTGAAGAGGGATGAGTGAAGTGGGATGAGTGAAGTGAGATGAGTGAAGTGGGATGAGTGAAGAGGGATGAGTGAAGTGAGATGAGTGAAGTGGGATGAGTGAAGTGGGATGAGTGAAGTGGGATGAGTGAAGCGGGATGAGTGAAGTGGGATGAGTGAAGAGGGATGAGTGAAGAGGGATGAGTGAAGCGGGATGAGTGAAGTGGGATGAGTGAAGTGGGATGAGTGAAGTGGGATGAGTGAAGTGAGATGAGTGAAGTGGGATGAGTGAAGTGGGATGAGTGAAGTGGGATGAGTGAAGAGGGATGAGTGAAGTGGGATGAGTGAAGTGAGATGAGTGAAGTGGGATGAGTGAAGTGGGATGAGTGAAGTGGGATGAGTGAAGTGGGATGAGTGAAGTGGGATGAGTGAAGTGGGATGAGTGAAGAGGGATGAGTGAAGTGGGATGAGTGAAGAGGGATGAGTGAAGCGGGATGAGTGAAGAGGGATGAGTGAAGAGGGATGAGTGAAGTGGGATGAGTGAAGTGGGATGAGTGAAGTGGGATGAGTGAAGAGGGATGAGTGAAGTGGGATGAGTGAAGTGGGATGAGTGAAGTGGGATGAGTGAAGAGGGATGAGTGAAGTGGGATGAGTGAAGTGGGATGAGTGAAGAGGGATGAGTGAAGAGGGATGAGTGAAGTGGGATGAGTGAAGTGGGATGAGTGAAGTGGGATGAGTGAAGAGGGATGAGTGAAGTGGGATGAGTGAAGAGGGATGAGTGAAGAGGGATGAGTGAAGAGGGATGAGTGAAGAGGGATGAGTGAAGAGGGATGAGTGAAGTGGGATGAGTGAAGTGGGATGAGTGAAGTGGGATGAGTGAAGAGGGATGAGTGAAGTGGGATGAGTGAAGTGGATGAGTGAAGTGAGATGAGTGAAGAGGGATGAGTGAAGTGAGGATGAGTGAAGTGGGATGAGTGAAGTGGGATGAGTGAAGTGGGATGAGTGAAGTGGGATGAGTGAAGTGGGATGAGTGAAGTGGGATGAGTGAAGTGGGATGAGTGAAGAGGGATGAGTGAAGAGGGATGAGTGAAGTGGGATGAGTGAAGTGGGATGAGTGAAGTGGGATGAGTGAAGAGGGATGAGTGAAGTGGGATGAGTGAAGTGGGATGAGTGAAGAGGGATGAGTGAAGAGGGATGAGTGAAGTGGGATGAGTGAAGTGGGATGAGTGAAGTGGGATGAGTGAAGAGGGATGAGTGAAGTGGGATGAGTGAAGAGGGATGAGTGAAGTGGGATGAGTGAAGTGAGATGAGTGAAGTGGGATGAGTGAAGAGGGATGAGTGAAGTGAGATGAGTGAAGTGGGATGAGTGAAGTGGGATGAGTGAAGTGGATGAGTGAAGCGGATGAGTGAAGTGGATGAGTGAAGAGGGATGAGTGAAGAGGGATGAGTGAAGCGGGATGAGTGAAGTGGGATGAGTGAAGTGGGATGAGTGAAGTGGGATGAGTGAAGTGAGATGAGTGAAGTGGGATGAGTGAAGTGGGATGAGTGAAGTGGGATGAGTGAAGAGGGATGAGTGAAGTGGGATGAGTGAAGTGGGATGAGTGAAGTGGGATGAGTGAAGTGGGATGAGTGAAGTGGGATGAGTGAAGTGGGATGAGTGAAGTGGGATGAGTGAAGTGGATGACGTGAAGTGGGGATGAAGTGAAGGAGGGATGAGTGAAGTGGGATGAGTGAAGTGAGATGAGTAAGTGGGAGAGTGAAGAGGGATGAGTGAAGTGGGGATGAGTGAAGTGGGATGAGTGAAGTGGGATGAGTGAAGTGGGATGAGTGAAGTGGGATGAGTGAAGTGGGATGAGTGAAGTGGGATGAGTGAAGAGGGATGAGTGAAGAGGGATGAGTGAAGTGGGATGAGTGAAGTGGGATGAGTGAAGTGGGATGAGTGAAGAGGGATGAGTGAAGAGGGATGAGTGAAGAGGATGAGTGAAGTGGGATGATGTGAAGAGGGATGAGTGAAGAGGGATGAGTGAAGAGGGATGAGTGAAGTGGATGAGTGAAGTGGGATGAGTGAAGAGGGATGAGTGAAGTGGGCTGATGAAGTGGGATGAGTGAAGTGGATGAGTGAAGAGGATGAGTGAAGTGAAGAAGTGGGATGAGTGAAGTGGGATGAGTGAAGAGGGATGAGTGAAGTGGGATGAGTGAAGTGGGATGAGTGAAGTGGGATGAGTGAAGTGGGATGAGTGAAGTGGGATGAGTGAAGTGGGATGAGTGAAGTGGGATGAGTGAAGTGAGATGAGTGAAGTGGGATGAGTGAAGTGGATGAGTGAAGTGGGATGAGTGAAGAGGGATGAGTGAAGTGGGATGAGTGAAGTGAGATGAGTGAAGTGGGATGAGTGAAGTGGGATGAGTGAAGTGGGATGAGTGAAGTGGGATGAGTGAAGTGGGACGAGTGAAGTGGGACGAGTGAAGAGGGATGAGTGAAGTGGGATGAGTGAAGTGAGATGAGTGAAGTGGGATGAGTGAAGAGGGATGAGTGAAGTGGGATGAGTGAAGTGGGATGAGTGAAGTGGGATGAGTGAAGTGGGATGAGTGAAGTGGGATGAGTGAAGTGGGATGAGTGAAGTGAGATGAGTGAAGTGGGATGAGTGAAGTGGGATGAGTGAAGTGGGATGAGTGAAGAGGGATGAGTGAAGTGGGATGAGTGAAGTGAGATGAGTGAAGTGGGATGAGTGAAGTGGGATGAGTGAAGTGGGATGAGTGAAGTGGGATGAGTGAAGTGGGATGAGTGAAGTGAGATGAGTGAAGAGAGATGAATGAAGTGGGATGAGTGAAGAGGGATGAGTGAAGTGGGATGAGTGAAGAGGGATGAGTGAAGTGGGATGAGTGAAGTGGGATGAGTGAAGTGGGATGAGTGAAGTGGGATGAGTGAAGTGGGATGAGTGAAGTGGGATGAGTGAAGTGGGATGAGTGAAGTGACCGCCGTGCCTGGTGTGAGCCAAACGGGACGTGTTGCTGCAGGAGTTCCGTGACGCCGTGGCTCACGCGGGCCACGCGCAGGGCTGGCCCGTGCTGGAGGACCGGGCGCTCGGACAGATCCTCTCCTACCTGCCGCAGCTCTACGCGCTCAACCGCGAGCTGCTGCGAGACTTCGTGGAGCGCGTCTCACGCTGGTGCGAGGCGCACGCATTTCCCTCCCCCCCCCAAGACCCCCTTACCCCCCTATCACCCCCCACCCACTCACTGCGCTCACCGCTCGCTCAGCACGGGTAGGGGCGTGGGGATGGGTGGGGGGATGGGTGGGAATCGGTGGGGGAACTTGGTGGGGATGGATGGGTGGGGGGAGTGGGGGGAATGGGTGAGGATGAGTGGTGGTAAGGAGGCATGGATAGGGGGGGGGGGGTTAAAAAATTCAAAGTAATTTATTTCTGGAATGAGGCGATGGGCAAAGATGTTGGGGAACGAGAGAGAACTCCCGGGTTGGAGCGGCGTCACAGGCAGAGAGAGAGTGAGCGAGCACTTTCCTGCCGGCAGGAAAGTGCTCGTTAATTCACCGCCCCCTGAGCCATTGGTGGGGAATCACACGTTAATATTGCGGGGCCGAGCCTGTTCATGAGACGACCTACAAAGTGGTGCCTATTTCATCGACCTCGAAAGGTTGAGATGAGTCTTAACGACCCACGGGCAAGATGTGAACTCGCAAGTGTCCGACTGCGAGGCGCTTCCCGCTGAGTCAACTGGCCGGAGGTGGCTGTGGGGGGTTGCCGGTGGTCCAGGAGTGGAGGCCGCCAATAGCCACAGAGGCGGACATTCCGTAGCGCACGAGGTCGTCGTGCACGCGGAAAGTGGAGCACAATGGCAGATAACACAACAACAACACAAGCTAAGACAATGATACCGCCATACAAGATCAATATATTTATTATGGGTGCCGCTTCATAGCACGTGGGAGTGGTCAGTGACCCTCCCCTCCCCCCGCTCACACCCCTGAGATTCTCAGACCACTGCTGCGAAACTTGCTGGACGTCTGTGAAAAATATATTTTTAGCCCATTGGATTCCCGCAGTATAAATGCTTGCTTTGATTCTGTTTTACGCCATGAACCATTTTAAATGTGAAGTATACTTGTTGCTGTGCATTTAAATTTCCAATGAGTTAAATAAATCACGCTTTGGTTCTCAGAGCATAGCTACCTGTGCCGAGACTATGGACCCGAACAGGCGCTGCCTCGTGCAGAGCCGCTTCAGCGTGGAGCGATTTCCCAGACACAGCGAGCACGGACGCCAGTCTGAGATCCTGTAAAGGCCTGGACTGGACCTCACTCGGGCTGAATCTCACTCGGACTGAATCTCTCCCCCACTGAATCTCACTCACACTGAATCTCACTCGGGCTGAATCTCTCCCCTACTGAATCTCACTCGGACTGAATCTCTCCCCCACTGAATATCACTCGGGCTGAATCTCACTCGCACTGAATCTAACTCGGACTGAATCTCTCCCCCACTGAATCTCACTCACATTGAATATCACTCGGACTGAATCTCTCCCCCACTGAATCTCACTCACACTGAATATCACTCGGGCTGAATCTTACTCGCACTGAATTTAACTCGGACTGAATCTCTCCCCTACTGAATCTCACTCGCACTGAATCTCACTCACACTGACTCTCACTCGCACTGAATAGCACTCGGACTGAATCTCACCCGGACTGAATCTCACTCACACTGAATAGCACTCGGACTGAATCTCACTCACACTGAATCTCACTCGCACTGAATCTCACCCGGACTGAATCTCTCCCCCACTGAATCTCACTCACACTGACTCTCACTCGGACTGAATCTCACTGGGACTGAATCTCACCCGGACTGAATCTCACTCGCACTGAACGCTCAACTGGGAGCTCGCTAGGGTGAACTTCACGTGAACAGGCTGAGTGCGCCACTGAATGACACACGCGCATTTAATGACACACGCATTTGGCTCGGTGTCATTTTCATTGCGTTATTGCCGTATCAGTTATAGATTTAAAACACTGTGTGTTGATTACGGGGCATTACGTGCGTGCTACGTAATCTAAGTTTTCTTGTGGTGGTTGTTGTTGTTGTTGTTTGACTTGTATCCCACTGGGATTTTTTTGCACACAGCGTTGGTGTACGGTGCTTTTTTCAGGAATATTTTGCTGTTTTTTTTTTCATGGATTTTCTGTTTGCACGGTCACACATAGTCACTTTAAGATGTTTTTCTTGTTCGTGTTTTTGTTTTTATGTTTGTTGTGGTTGCACCCGATTCAAGAGCCGAATGGCTCACAGGGCTATACCAAAATTAATAAACTTAACTGACAGCTGAACTGAAGCGGCTTCCCTGGACACCCTTGCAAACGAGGATGCTCCATCCCAAGGGGGGGTTTCCCCCCAAGTGAAATGTCTAACCTGGTGGTTCTTTACCTGAGGTGCACGCACCCCCGGGCGTGCGAGGCATGGCCAGATTATTTTTCAAAGTGAAATCATAGCAACACACGAATTAAGCACGAACACGTTAAGTACAAATACTTCGTTTCGTCAAACCTACTACTACGTATTCATCAACGTTATATATTGTTGAACGGTGGAGGACCAAAGGGGTGCAAGGCTGCAGTGAAGGTGAAGAACCGCTTCCTTCGACAGACACAGACACAATGACAAAGCAACGGGCGTGGAGCCAATGCCCCCCCCCCACCCGTCTCAAACCACGCCCCCCCCCCACCCGTATCTAACCACGCCCCCACAGTCTCTAACCACGCCCCCACCGTCTCTAACCACGCCCCCCGTCTCTAACCGCGACCCCCCCGCCTCTGACCTTGCCCCCCCCGTCTCTGACCTCGCCCCCCCTCCCGTCTCTGACCTCGCCCCCCCGTCTCTGACCTCGCCCCCCCCGCCTCTGACCTCACCCCCCCGCCTCTGACCTCGCCCCCCCTTCTCTGACCTCGCCCCCCCCCCGTCTCTGACCTCGCCCCCATGCAGGGAGGAGAGTCCCCGCATAGCGGACGTGTTCGTGCGCAAGGGCCCTTACCTGAAGCTCTACTCGGCCTACGTGCGCGAATTCGACAACAACATCGCCGTGCTGGACGAGAGCTGCCGTGCCGTCCCGGCCTTCGCAGCGCTCGTGCGAGAGTTCGAGGTGAGTGCGTCCTCACCACACCCTCACCACACCCTCACCGCCCTCACCACACCCTCACCACGCCCTCACCACACCCTCACCGCCCTCACTTCCCTCACCGCACTCACCACACCCTCACCACACCCTCACCGCCCTCACTCCCCTCACCGCACTCACCACACCCTCACCACACTCACCACACTCACTCCCCTCACCGCCCTCACCACACCCTCACCACACTCACTCCCCTCACCGCTCTCACCGCCCTCACCACACCCTCACCACACTCACTCCCCTCACCGCCCTCACCACACCCTCACCACACTCACCACACTCACTCCCCTCGCCACTCTCACTGCACTCACTCCCCTCACCACTCTCACTACACTCACTCCCCTCACCGCACTCACCACACTCACTCCCATCACCGCCCTCACTACACCCTCACCACACTCACCACACTCACTCCCCTCACCACTTTCACTACACTCACTCCCCTCACCGCACTCACCACACTCACTCCCCTCACCGCCCTCACTACATCCTCACCACACTCACCACACTCACCACACTCACTCCCCTCACCGCACTCACCACACCCTCACCACACTCACCACACTCACTCCCCTCACCGCCCTCACCACACCCTCACCACACTCACTCCCCTCACCGCCCTCACCACACCCTCACCACACTCACCACACTCACTCTCCTCACCACTCTCACCACACTCACTCCCCTCACCGCACTCACCACTCTCACCGCACTCACTCCCCTCACCGCACTCACCACACTCACTCCCCTCACCGCACTCACCACTCTCACCGCACTTACTCCCCTCACCACTCTCACCGCACTCACCACTCTCACCGCCCTCACTCACCACACTCACCACACTCACTCCCCTCACCGCCCTCACTATACCCTCACCACACTCACCACTCTCACTCCCCTCACCGCACTCACTCCCCTCACTACTCTCACCGCGCTGTCCGCCCTCACCACCCTCCGGCTACGCCCGCTCGTTTGCCGCCATCAAACTATTAAAATAAACTTCTAAAACTATTTTTTTTATTTTACCAAGTAAGGCCCGCTGAGCTACCGAGTTATTTTACAGAAGCGACCTGGCTATCAACTTAGTGGCAAATCATCACGTGGGAATTCATAGCAGCCAAAGACTCTAATTGCGCGATGTTGATTCTAAACGTGGAGGGAAAACGGGAGGACCCGGAGACAAATCCACGCCACCACGGGGAGAGAGAGAGAGACTCGCAAACTCCAAATACAGTGAGGGGAAAAAGTATTTGATCCCCTGCTGATTTTGTACGTTTGCCCACTGACAAAGAAATGATCAGTCTATAATTTTAATGGTAGGTTTATTTGAACAGTGAGAGACAGAATAACAACAACAAAATCCAGAAAAACGCATGTCAAAAATGTTATAAATTGATTTGCATTTTAACGAAGGAAATAAGTATTTGACCCCTCTGCAAAACATGACTTAGTACTTGGTGGCAAAACCCTTGTTGGCAATCACAGAGGTCAGACGTTTCTTGTAGTTGGCTACCAGATTTGCACACATCTCAGGAGGGATTTTGTCCCACTCCTCTTTGCAGATCTTCTCCAAGCCATTAAGGTTTCGAGGCTGACGTTTGGCAACTCGAACCTTCAGCTTCGTCCACAGATTTTCTATGGGATCAAGGTCTGGAGACTGGCTAGGCCACTCCAGGACCTTAATGTACTTCTTCTTGAGCCACTCCTTTGTTGCCTTGGCCGTGTGTTTTGGGTCATTGTCATGCTGGAATACCCATCCACGACCCATTTTCAATGCCCTGGCTGAGGGAAGGAGGTTCTCACCCAAGATTTGACGGTACATGGCCCCGTCCATCGTCCCTTTGATGCGGTGAAGTTGTCCTGTCCCCTTAGCAGAAAAACACCCCCAAAGCATAATGTTTCCACCTCCATGTTTGACGGTGGGGATGGTGTTCTTGGGGTCATAGGCAGCATTCCTCCTCCTCCAAACACGGAGAGTTGAGTTGATGCCAAAGAGCTCCATTTTGGTCTCAACACTTTCACCCAGTTGTCCTCTGAATCATTCAGATGTTCATTGGCAAACTTCAGACGGGCATGTATATGTGCTTCTTTGAGCAGGGGGACCTTGTGGGCGCTGCAGGATTTCAGTCCTTCACGGCGTAATGTGTTACCAATTGTTTTCCTGGTGACTATGGTCCCAGCTGCCTTGAGATAATTCACAAGATCCCCCCGTGTAGTTCTGGGCTGGTTCCTCACCGTTCTCATGATCATTGCAACTCCACGAGGTGAGATCTTGCATGGAGCCCCAGGCTGAGGGAGATTGACAGTTCTTTTGTGTTTCTTCCATTTGCGAATAATCGCACCAATTGTTGTCACCTTCTCACCAAGCTGCTTGGCAATGGTCTTGTAGCCCATTCCAGCCTTGTGTAGGTCTACAATCTTGTCCCTGACATCCTTGGAGAGCTCTTTGGTCTTGGCTATGGTGGAGAGTTTGGAATCTGATTGATTGATTGCTTCTGTGGACAGGTGTCTTTTATACAGGGAACGAGCTGAGATTAGGAGCACTCCCTTTAAGAGTGTGCTCCTAATCTCAGCTTGGAACCTGTATAAAAGACACCTGGGAGCCAGAAATCTTTCTGATTGAGAGGTGGTCAGATACTTATTTCCCTCATTAAAATGCAAATCAATTCATAACATTTTTGACATGCGTTTTTCTGGATTTTGTTGTTGTTATTCTCTCTCACTGTTCAAATAAACCTACCATTAAAATCATAGACTGATCATTTCTTTGTCAGTGGGCAAACGTACAAAATCAGCAGGAAATCAAATACTTTTTTCCCTCACTGTATACAGCAGCAGGTGTCAGGGTCGGTATCGAACCCATGATCTCTTGTATACCAGGCGAGGTAGTTAACATCTCCTAGCCACCGTGGTGCCTTAAATGTGACCCCCCCCCCACCACCCTGGGCCCGTGTCTGCAGAGGAGAACGTGCTGCGGAAATCTTCCGCTCAAACACTTCTTGCTCAAGCCCGTGCAGAGGATCCCGCAGTACAAGTGGCTCCTGACCGGTGAGAATCCTCTTACGAAAATACTCACCACCACTCACTTGCAACTCACCTTCACACATACAAGCACACACCTCCTCCTCCTCCTCCCCGACGAAACCCACTTCCACTCGCCACTCTTCACGTGCTACGCCCGTGTTCAACCACCACATTGCAAGTGACGACAACAACAACAACACACTCACTCACACACACACTCACTCACTAACCCACTCACCAACCCACTCACTGACTCACCCACCCACCCACCCGCTCACACACTCACTCACTCACTCACCCACACACTAACTCACTCACCCACTCTGGGCCTCCCCTAGGTCGACTCAGCCTCAAATAAGTACTTGGTGTGATGTGTAAACATCAGCACTGGGGAGACAAAGGCGGCCGGGCGTGGTGTTGGCCACCCACCACCTCGTGTGCCGTTCCAGCCTTTGTAGGTGGTCATAACAGCACTTGCCCCAACGGTCTATGAAGGCTATACGGGGGGATCTTTGTCTCTGTGTGCGTGTATGTGCCAGATTACTTGAGGCATCTGTCCCCGGAATCTCCAGACTACGCGGACACACAGGGTGAGCGAGCACAGAGCACGCATCAGGCTCACCCCACTCACCATGCTCACGTGTGCAGAGTGTTGGGTGAGTGGGCGGTGGGTGATGAGGTTGTTTGCACGAGTGTGGTGGTGAGCCTACATCTGAACATCTCCTGATCTAACCACTTTGCACTCAGTGTCACTCAGCTCCCCGCACGAAGGTTTGCTATGCAGGGAGTCGTAGGTTCGATTCTGACCCTGACGCCTGCTGTGTATTTGCAGTTTGCGGTGTCTCTCTCTCTCCCTGTGGTCACGCGGATTTGTTTTCTCCGGGTCCTCCGGTTTTCCCCTCCACATTCTGAAACACCGCATCGAGATTATTGAGATGATTTCGCTGCTGTGGATTTCCACGTGAAGACACGTCGTTGAGCTATCATTTGTGACCAAATCGCTTCTGAAAAAGAAAGTAATGACTCAGTGGGCCCGAGATTAAAAAGTAGTTTAGTTTAATTTGTATCGATTTTTTTAGTGATTTGTTTAACCTTGCCTATAATTTGCACTATTGTCGTGTTTTTGTATCAGTTGTTGTAACGTTCTGACCTACCCCTACTTGGAACATTTATGCCTAATCTTGCACGTGATTTGTATTCCTTAATTAGCTATAACTGAAACCTTTTTTACACGGTGAGGGAGTGAGGGATGGTGGTGCAGGGTGTGGGAGTGGGGATGGTGGTGCAGGGTGTGGGAGTGGGGGGTGGTGGTGCTGGGTGTGGGAGTGGGTGATGGTGGTGCAGGGTGTGGGGGATGGTGGTGTAGGGTGTGGGAGTGGGGGGTGGTGGTGCAGGCTGTGGGAGTGGGGGATGATGGTGCAGGGTGTGGGAGTGGGGAAGGTGGTGCAGGGTGTGGGAGTGGGGGATGGTGGTGCAGGGTGAAGGAATGAGGGATGGTGGTGCAGGGTGTGGGAGTGGATGATGATGGTGCAGGATGTGGGAGTGGGGGGTGGTGGTGCAGGGTGTGGGAGTGGGGGGTGGTGGTGCAGGGTGTGGGAGTGGGGATGGTGGTGTAGGGTGAGGGAGTGGGGGGTGGTGGTGCAGGGTGAGATGGTTTAGGGGGTGGTGGTGCAGGGTGGTGCTGGGTGAGATGGTTTGTGAATTCAGTGTCTGATCAACTCTCGCGCAGTGAGTCGCTAATGGACTGTCAGGGTTCTCTTTGCAGCTGCCATCGCCATCATAAGTGAAGTGGCATCTCACACCAACGACTGCATGCGCCAAGGGGTGAGGCGGCACGGCATGAGCCACCACACACACGCACAAAGACAAAGATCACCCGTATAGCCTGAACAGACTGTTGGGCCAAGTGCTATTAGCGAATCGCACCAATGACTGCCTGAACGGTGCACAAGCGGGTGTGGGGTTGGCCAGCGCCACGCTCCAGGCACCCATTTTGAGGCCGAGTCGACCTAGGGGAGGTCCAGGACGATTTTAAAATAGCGGAAATCCAACTCAGGTCGCCGGGTTCGTAGCGCAGCGCGCTAACCACTACACTACCGCTCCCCACACGTGCCCATGTACGTTTCGTACATGCAACATGGTATCCAGAGTTTGAAATGTGACTACCTTCCTGTGTATTATGTTTATTATCCGAAAGTGTCCATCCGTGTGCGATGCTCTGGATCTCACAAATGGATCGTGGGAGGCACGCGTGCATAACACCGGCAAACTAAATTGTTCCTGGGAAAAGAAAACTCACGAATACTGTACAATTGTTACACATCATCCCGTTAATGCTGCACTTCAAATGAACGTGCCAGAACACGTGCTTTGTATCGTTTGTTGCTGTAACGTTCTTGCCCCGTGCCCCGTATTGGACATCTGTAAAACAAAACAAAGTGCTTTATTGCTCATCGGATTCTTCCTGCAGTCTAAATGCAAGATTCTGATTCTGAAATGTCTGAAAAATAAAAATAGGTTTTTATCATTTCTGTCAATACAACACAGATACCTTCTGCAAGACATCACGTCTGCATTCACCACACCTACATGCGGTGAACATGCAAACATCCTGCGATAATACTAATGTATGGTATTCTCTTAGAAACGGATTGACCTTCACCAGAGACGGCCTTTTTTATGGCCTAGTCTCACCGATATTAGACCTGAGACAATGCAAGAATATTATCAGAGCGTGTTTGTTTACATGCTCGCCACAACTCCTGTTACATTTCGATTTAAAGCTTTCGTGACTGCAGGGATTCATCTTCTGGGTTCTTTCGGTAAGGTGTTACATTGCCAGAACATCTCAACACAACTCCTGTTACATTGCCAGAACGGGCACAAAACTATTCTATTCTTACTTTTCATACTTTGCTACTGGCCAAAAAAGGACCTGTATAATGTGTATTTGTCAATCACATGGTTGCGTCCACAGACCCCCCCCCCCCCGCTCCCCCCTTCACACCCAGGCTGCCTCCCTTGGTATGGTCCAAATGTGAGGTAGGTGGCACGTGGCCGTGGATGTGTTGCAGAAATATTTCCCCGGGTCACCGACCCCGAGAATCATCGACTGGAGGAATCCGATGAGCTCCAAAGCTCCTTCCCCCTCCCCCCCCCCCCCCCCCCACGGATGTCCAGAGAGACGCGGCTCAAGCGAATTGTTATGACGTTGGCCGCGAGCCCAATGAGCGTCCGTAAGAACGAGGGGGGTTGGTGATCGATGTCGATGATGCTGCTGCTGCTGCTTTTGTGACTTGGTGGCAGGATAACTTCCAGAAGTTGCTCCAAATTCAGCAGAGTCTGCAGGGCAGCCCCGAGGTGGTGCGGCCAGGACGCGTGAGTAGCGCGCCACGCGGCTGCTGAAGTCACCGAGAGTAGCTGTTTGGGGGTGGGTGATTGCGTGCCTGCCTGTTTGTAAGACTGGCTGTTTGCGAAACTGGCTGTTTGTGTGACTGGCTGTTTGTGTGCCTGGCTGTGTGTGAGACTGGCTGTTTGTGAGACTGCGTGTTTGTGAGACTGGCTGTTTGTGTGATTGGTTGATTGAGTGTCTAGCTGTGTGTCAGACTGGCTGTTTGTGTGACTGGCTGTGTGTGAGACTGGCTGTGTGTGAGACAAAACAACCCCCTACCTCCTCGTGGTGCCGGATGGGCAACGCTGTCATGGGCAGTGCTGAGGGGGGATGGCCAATTTTGATTGGCCTTTTCCCTCATGGCATTTGTAACCACCACAGCGGCCAAATGGTGGCTCTGGATGGGTGCGAGGGGCCGGTAACCCCTCCACCTTCAATTAATTACCACTAAACCACGACGACAAAATTGAATAAATAAGCTTGTGCCGGAGGTCCCGGGGGGACAGGCGTCTTTGACGTCTCCTGGCCAAACCCCATTTTGTGGAGCCAGGAGATTGAATCTCTACCCTCGGGGCTCCTCCAGAAACAACAAAAAACCACTACGTGTGGCCACGTGGAGTGTTCGAACGCTCACTGCGGAGGAGAGGCTGCCACTCCTCTATTGGGAGCTCAACTGGTACCGCCTGGATTTCTGTGGTATTCAGGAGGTCCGGTGGACCGGCTCTGGCTCCTGCCACCATGAAGGTTGGACAGTCCTCTACTCAGGGAAGGAGACTGCCAAACAACAGGGTGTGGCTCTTCTACTGAATAAAATAATGAAGGGGGCGTGGGAGCATGGCGGTGAGGTGTGGGAAGCTGTAAACCCCAGGCTACTTTGGGCTCACCTTCCCATCAACCAGAGGCGAGGAGTGGTGGTCATGGTTACTTATGCCCCCACTGAAGACAAATATCCGTGGAAGGATGCAGGCAAGGCCGATGAGTCAGATGCCTTCTATGAGCTCCTGTCACAGGTGCTAGCTAAAGTGGCCCCTCGGGATAGTCATCTTGTTGGGTGAATTCAATGCCCGAGTTGGTCATGATTCTGGCACCTGGTCTGGAGTGATTGGAAGGCATGGGCCGGATCAGCTCAATAACAACGGCAGGAGGCTGCTAGATTTTTGTGCAGCCCATGGGCTTGTAATTACCAAAACGCTGTTCCGGCATCGGCACATCCACACCACATCATGGATGCATGCCAGGTCCAAACAAGAACATCTGCTGGACTACATAGTGACGGAACAGCAGATGCGGGCCCATGTCCTTGACACCAGGACCTACCGTGTAGCTGATCTGCCCACTGACCATCGACTTGTCATCTGTAAGATGTACCTGCCATTCTTCTACTTCGGTGGTGGGTGTACACAACAGCACCCCATTCAAACCTTTAGTGGCATGGTCTCAGCTAGCTGATGAAACTTGCAAGCGAGAATTTTATGATCGCTTGCGGCTCGGGTTGGCATCGTCCCCCACTCCTCCTGATGTCGAGGGGAAATGGGCGAGGATTAGGACTGTGGCTCATGCAGCTGCAATGGCTGCTTTGGGTACACGGTCCAGACCTCCCCAGAGACCGTAGCTCACAGAGGAGGTGTTCAAGCTGGCTGAGAAAAAGCGACAGGCCCACTCTTATCGGCTACAGCATCCCACGTCGGAGAATGAGGAGGCTTACTACAGCCTTCGCTCGGAGGTTCAGAAAGCCGTTAGGCTCTGCTGAGGAGATGGAGTCTGCCTCAATGGCCCGCGATCACAAATCGCTCTTTAATTCCATCAAAAAAGTAACCTGCAGCGCCACACCTATTACGATCATTAGGAGAAAGAACGGTGATCCAATCTCCGACCCCCAGGAACAGGTTTGCAGATTTGCTGAGCACTTGTGAGGTTCTGGGGGAAGGGAAATCCCTCAGCCAAAAAAAAAACATGGTACAAAGTCGGGATGACCCTGCCGAGGCTGCGGTGCCTCAAATATTGGAAGGAGAAGTCACCCCCTGTGAGTGGCTGGCTGAGGAGCCATCTGTTGAGGAAGTACTGAAGGCGATCTATAGTCTAAGACCAGGCAAGGCACTGGGCAGAGATTATCTCCCAGGCGACATGCTATCGAGTGAGGGTGGCGTTTATGCAGAGACTGCCCTACATGACATCATAACAACAGTCTGGACCACTGGACAGGTTCCGCAGGTTTGGAAGGATGCCCTGGTGGTCCCCGTCTTTAAGAAGGGGGACCGCACAGACTGTAACAACTACAGGGGCATCTCACTCCTCAGTGTGCTGGGAAAGGTCCTGGCAACGATTATTCAACATCGCCTTGCTAGGTATACTGAGGAGAGACTTGCGGAGCCCTAATGCGGTTTCAGGAAATGGCGGTCCTGCACAGATGCCATATTTTCTGTCCGTCTGCTACAGCAGAGGTCTAGGGAATTCCAACAAGACCTACATCCCTGCTTTATTGACCTGGTTAAGGCCTTTAATACCATCAGTAGGCCTGGGCTCTGGGTTGTTTTTCGTGCTTTCGGAGTCCTTGACCCTCTGCTCACAATCATTAAGGACCTTCATGATGGTGAGTGGGCCCGGGTAAAACTACGTGGCCGGAAGTCAGAGCCATTCCCTGTACACCTTGGGGTGCGACAGGGATGTCCTCTTGCTCCTACATTATTTAACATCTCTCTTGACCACGTAGTTCGTCATATTTTGTACCATCGGACACTCCACCCCCACAATTCCCAATTGGTGATAGGGCAGTTGTGGAGAGACTGGAGCGTTTCCCATACCTGGGCAGTGTGCTCATGACCGGCTTCGGTTTAACAAAAGAGGTCTCACTTCGAATCAGTCGAGCGGCATTATCTTTTCATCGGTTGCATAACGCTCTGTGGAAGCTACCTGGTCTGTCGCTCCGCACGACGCTTCAGGTCATCTCGGCCACAGTCATTCAATCCCTTCTCTATGCTTGTGAAACGTGGACCCCCCTAATGGAACATCTTCGCTGGTCAGAAACATTTAGGTTGGCCTGCCTACGATCCATCCTGGGTTTGACCAAGCTAGATTGTGTGAGGAGCTCACAAATCTTTGAAAGATCTGGACAAGGTCCTAATGGTGAGCTCCTCCGGCAGGCAAGGCTGCATTGGCTGGGCCATGTAGCCCGCATGCCCAGCCACCACATGCATAAACAGCTTTTGCTCGGCCGGATCAAGTGGCTAAACGGGCGCGGCATGGTCTAGAGAAGAGATGGAGTTACGTGGTACAGGATGATGTGGAGCTGAGTGGACTTGCCGATGACTGGGGTCAAGATCGGCGTCTGTGGAGGAGGCTCGTGAAGGACGCTACTGGGCAGTTGGAGGCAGTTGCCTTCCAACAACAACGGAGGGCGGAGGAGCCACACTCACAACAATGAGCAGAGCGCCGGGTGGCTAAAGCAAAGCAAGTTGGAAAAGTTGGGGGCACAGGTGGTGCATCAACCAGTCGTCTCAATCAGTCGACCTGTGGCATCTGGGTCTGCCCCGTGACCTCCTGCCAGCGGGCGTTCGACACTGTTTGTGTGACTGGCTGTTTGTGAGGCTGCCTGTTTGTGACACTGGCTGTGAGACTGGCCGTCTGTCTGACTAGCTGTTTGTGTGATTGATTGCTGGCTGTTTCTGAGACTTGCTCTTTGCGAGACTGGCTGCTTGTGTGACTGGCTGTTTGCGATACTCGCTGTTTGTGTGACTGACTGTGTGTGAGACTGGCTGCTTGTGAGACTGGCTGTTTGCGCCACTGGCTGTTTGCGAGATTGTCTGTTTGCGACACTGACTGTTTGCGAGGTTGCCTGTTATGTGAGACTGGCTTTTTGTGCCTCTGGCTGTTTGCAAAGCTGGCTGTTTGCGAGACTGATTGCGTAGTGGTATCAGGAAATGTCACTGCATTCCACGTTAGGCCGGCCCGTGTGTGGAGCACGGGACATGCTGATCACACCACCTACAGCACGGCAGTTGTGCAACAACGTACACTCCGTGTGCAGTGTCAGCCCTTGGAGGTTAGGGGGCGAGAGCGCTGGAAGCGGTACAGGGGTGACAGGGGGCCATGGCACTCCGGATGAACCTGGAGGGCTAGTGTCCGGAGATACTGGGGGCTGGGCGACCACTGGACTGGTTCCCGGGGCCTCTGGAAAGGGGAAGCTCTGGGACTTGGAATATAAGCCGGACTCCTGAACGGATCCGGCGGTTGTTGCTGGTCTGAAGACCCGAAGACGTCCTCCTGAAGAAGAAGCCCCGGGGTCAAGACCAGGACTCGAGTCGGAGTCCGGCTTGATGGCTTCCCCTCCCCAGTCACGTTAATGGCTAGTTTGTAGTTAGTCCAGAAGGACTCCCTCCCCAGTTACCTGGTGAAAGGGGCGACTACCCCTTGTGTTAGCGAATGTTGTTATAATAAATGTGTTGCCTCCAAGAAGCCTCACTCACCCTCTGTACCCACTACATTTGGTATCAGAAGTGGCCGATTATTTAATGCTTTTATATATGACAGTAGCTCTCATGGAGACGAGGCAAAGAACATGTACCCGCTCTCTGGAGGAAGAAGGAGACGATGCAACAGCCCCGAGGTTGGCAGCCCCGGAGGAGAGGGGAGACGCGCCGCCGGTGGAGTGGCATGCCGGCCGGCTGGCTGACGGGCCGCCACCCTTCGGGGAGGGCTCTCCGTGCGGCGCACTCCCACCTTGCCCAGCTTCTCCACGCGGCCGCGGCCATCCTGGACGAGATCCACGGTGGGGAGGCTGCTGCGGTGGAGGACTAGACGGAGCCTCAGGGTGCTGTGGCTCCTGCCGCCGCTTCTGGAGTTCCCGCAAACATTATTGAGATTCCCGCCGAAAATCTCCGCCAACAGTTCCCACCAACCAGAAACCGCCACGTCACCACCTGCGTGACCAGGGCAGGAGGCCGCCATCTTGCCGTCGAGGAGCCGGCGGGGTTCCCGCCAAGAGTGACGG